TCAAAACACATTGGATTTCATGAAGGACACAGTCACTTACCTCAGCAACGTGGCTCACACCATTCAGTTACCAAGTAAGGAAGAAGCACTTTGTCTTCTGCATTTCCTTCTTGCTTTTGCACCATTCCCAGGTCCTATGAGCTCGGAGGGCATTATGTTCAATTCATACAACCCCGCTATTCATAAGTACACACCGGCAGCGGTTGATAGCCTGGCCAAGCTTTTGGCACGGGATGAGCCCAACCGAACATTCTTCAGAGCAATCTTTTCTGGCGATGGTGCCTCGATCCAGCAAGAGTTGCTGACCCGTGCCTTTGGTCTTGCCATTTGCCCGGTCCCTGATCAACCGCGGAAACCCTTGGCTATAGCGGATGCTCGGAAAGTTTTCCTCATGCAAGGCCTATTGGCAGCGGACATCCTTTCAGGCTTCGCGGATGGACCTATTGCCAAATCATGGCTGGAGTCGACCGACGGGTTCGCCATTCATCTACTGCGACTCTCATGCCTCCTGAGCACAGAACGAGTTCCTCCACCGAGCACCAACTCCCGCCAATCCCATGCCGCAAGGGGTCAAGCCGAAGCGGAGGCTGCTGCTTACAGCTCCATAATTAATCGGGGTCTGGCAATTCTGCGTCGACTAGCTGAGAAGTCAAAGCTTGCTGATTCCAACGCCACGTTACGGTTCCCGTCGGGAATCATCCCAAGGAAAGAAAGCTTGCTTGGCGCACTGTTGATGCCTAACATAGATCCTGGTGTGGTACGGCAATTGATAACTTATGCACGACTAGCGGAATGAATGCGGTAACTTCTGGAACGGTTAGGGTCTTTTTTTTCCTGAGATCATTTCTAGCGCGCTGGTTAACCCGAAGGTTTCATGTTTGGGCCACGCTTAGAACATGCCTTGTTGATGTTTGCTTCTGTCATGTCTTCTACTTCCAACCTTTGAGTAAACAACTATCTACATCTCCGTTTTCTCCCTTTTTTCTTTTTTTTTTCTCTTTTTTACTCTCTTACTCGATCTCGTGTGTTAGGCGCCGGTGGGAAGAACCTTTTTTTCTTTAATCGAGAGAGGCGTGACAATGTGTATCTCTGTGCTTTACCGCTGTACAATGTTCAATACCCTCGGGCGACAAAAAAAAAATCATGCATGATGTCTAAATGGGTAACTCTACTGTATCATGGTTCATTAACTGAAGTGGACCGACCGATTCTGGTTGATAGTACGCTCTTGGTCTGAGCTTTGCCTTTCCAAATTAGGAACAGTTCGTAGGCTACTAGGTTGGCTAGTTGGCGGTAAGTTCTGGCATGTTGCTGCGTAGTACCCCTGTATCGGCATCTCCTGTGTAATCGTATGACGTGTAGTATGATTGTAGTATGACATGTAGTATGATCAAGAGATCAGCTGCTAGTGAGGATACCGCTAGTTCTCTTGAGGAAGTAGAAGATGGATGGAGTAACATGGCGGAAGACGTTATATCCACTGATACTACTACTACTACGAGCTAGTAGATAAAAGGGAAGAGGAGATAAGACCACTTTCGGATGAATAGATAGTAATCATGTACCGAGCCCGCAGCAGTTCGCCGTAGACTTGAGAGATAGAACAAAAGCGAAAATAGAAAAGGTAGAGATCACGCCAGTATACATACATACATACAGCAGCCAGAAAAACAGAAGCCCCGCAGAAATAAGGGAGTTATGACAGGAACACCAGCACTAGTAGGAGAGAGAAAAGTAATACAAAGTGAGGAATAAAGTAAGTAGAGGGAAATTTGGAAAAAAGGAAAATGGGGTCATGGGGGGGACATTATAACCAAAGTATATCGATCATCCCTGACCATTGCAGATATGCACTGCTTATTTTCTTTTCATCCCGTCGTTCTGGTTCGGCCCTTTTTTAGTCTTCTTCTTGTTACCAAGTCTGCAGTGTGTGGTTTCGTCCTGTCCCTGGACCCCCATCGCTCCCTGTGCTAGGCGTGACAATAGACAAGTGTGTGTATGTGACAGTATCAATGGGTTCAATGAGTTGGTGCCGACGTAGGATTGAAAGTAAGAGAGGAGTGAAAGGGATCCAGGGACGACTCCGGTTCCTTCTCTTGTCGTTTTGCTTAAAAGTTGCGTTCCTGAAGGAATTTCAGGATCTCAGGTTTGCGCCAGCCCTAAGTGAAGCAACCAGATTAGCTCGGTCATGATCAAATGGAGGATCTTTTAAGTCATACCTTGACAATGATGTGACCGTTAAGACGGTTAATAGTCACATCCGGGCTCTTGGGAGCGCGGGGGTCACCCGACTCCAGTCCCAGATACTGCGCCAGATCGTTCCTCAGGGCATCCAAATCGCCTTCAGTCTTCTGGAGCTTGGTTTGTTGCTTGGTACCGCCGGCCTTAGTGACGAGATATACGGGAAGTTGGTTGGAGGCTGTGCGACGGATGAAATAAGGGAGGTTTGTGAGTTGCAGGTTGGGCGGCGGTTGCGATACCGGGGTTTCCTTGAGGGTCTGAGATTGCCGCTTGAGTTGAACGAGGAAAGTCCGACATTGCTGGGCGGCAACCTGGGGCTGAGAGATAATTTGGGAGGAGTGACGAGAAGTGAGTTCTAAGAGCAAGTCAGGAAAAGCTCAACGGATCCTTTTAGATACCCTTCGGGAATTTGCTGCCCAGGAACAGCCACGCTTACTATCCCGATGGGATAGGCCGTGGGTGGAACGGACGGAAAGGGTCGCGACATACGAGAGGGGGTCAATCTAGCGGAAGAACATAGCGAGGAGAAGGAGCTACGCGTCCCTGACGAGACTCTGGACTGTGAAGCTTTGTGCAGATAGAAGGGAACAGCGGTTGACTGCTTGCGAGAAGCCGAGCAGACCGGCAGAGACTGCATGAAGGATGCCATCGGGGTTGGTAAGGGGGAGGTCAAGGGGGAGGCAACGGAAACAGCCTGAACGATTCCTAGCAGCCGGGGAATCGAAGAACAACCCAGAAGGGAGTTTAAAAGAGGGAGAGGGGAGGAGAAGGGGACAAGACGAGGGCCGGAGAGCGCGAGAGAACGAACATACGACATGCAGAAATGAAGCGATGATTTCTTGCTTCGGCGCGGAGACCTTCCGCTAGTCCCAGAAGGGAATAGCGCGCCCAGCAGCCCTTCGCCCACATTTTCGCCAGCGCAAAAGCCGCCGCACACTGACTTTGAAGTCTGCCGCTGCTCATTGTGAGAGGCTCTCCGTTCGTGAATCGCTTCCTCTCTTCTGTTTTTGTCCTTTTTCTCCCTCCCCTCTTTTTCCCCCCTACCCCCTCCTCCTCCACCACCCCCCCAATTTATTCCGCTCCCCCGCTGCTACTGCTGCTATATCTCCCACCATGGCAGCCAACGTTCCTCCTTCCGCTGAGACCCTTCTCAGCGGTGCTGCCGCCCACCCGCCCAAGACCGCTGAAGAGATCGCCAACCAGTATGACCTGCTGCCCAAGTTGATCCCCTACCTCGACCGCCATCTGGTCTTCCCTCTCCTCGAGTTCAGCTCCGGCTCCCAGGAAGATGACAAGGAGATGATCCGCGCCAAGTACGAGCTGTTGAAGCACACCAACATGACCGACTATGTTGCCAACCTGTGGAAGGAAATTAACGACTCCGACACCATCCCCGACGAGTTCGTCAAGAAGAGAGAGGAGGTTCTCGCCAAGTTGCAACACTACCAGGAGCAGAGCGCCAAGATCACCGAGCTGCTGCAGGATGAGGATGTCGTCGGCAACCTGCGCAGCGACAAGGTCGCCAACTTGAAGTTCCTCGAGGAGGAGCACGGTGTCACCGCCGATATGGTCAACAGCCTTTTCGACTATGGTCGTTTCCAGTACAGCTGCGGTAGCTACGGCAATGCTGCTGAGCTGCTGTACCAGTTCCGTGTCCTCTCCACCGACAACGACAAGGTTGCCTCCGCCACATGGGGTAAGCTCGCCTCGGAGATTCTGACGACCAGCTGGGATGGTGCTATGGAGGAGGTTCAGAAGGTCAAGGACTCCATCGAGACCCGTCTCTTCAATAACCCTCTGGGTCAGCTCCAGAACCGCTCCTGGTTGATCCACTGGTCTCTCTTCCCCTTCTTCAACTACGACCCGGCTCGCGATGTCCTGACCGACCTTTTCTTCTCCCCCGCCTACATCAACACCATCCAGACCAGCTGCCCCTGGATCCTGCGCTACCTCGCCGCCGCCGTCATCACCAACCGCAACCGTGCCCACAAGAACAGCAACGTCTACCAGAAGCAGCTGAAGGACCTGATCCGCGTTGTTCGCCAGGAGGGCTACGAATACTCCGACCCCATCACCGACTTCGTCAAGGCGCTGTACGTTGACTTCGATTTCGAGGAGGCCCAGAAGAAGCTGGGTGAGGCTGAGGATGTGTTGCGGAGCGACTTCTTCCTCGTCTCGGCTGCCGATGCCTTCGTTGAGGCTGCCCGTCACCTGATCTCCGAGAGCTACTGCAAGATCCACCAGCGGATCGACATCAAGTATGTTACCCAACGCGAAGGACATACATCCAGAGCGTAACCGTGCTAACCAATATCTCCAGGGACCTGTCTACCCGTCTGGGTCTGAACCAGGATGAGGGTGAGAAGTGGATCGTCAACCTGATCCGCGACACTCGTGTCGACGCCAAGATCGACTACAAGGAGGGCACTGTGATCATGAACCACCCCCCGCAGTCTGTGTACCAGCAGGTCATTGAGAAGACCAAGGGTGCTTTCTTCCGCACGCAAGTTCTGAGGTTCGTCTAATACCCTTGTCAATCGACCCATTCTATTGCTTGTCACTAACGCCAGGATAATCATATAGTGCTGCCGTTGCGAAATAAATGACACCCCCCACTTCTTGAAATTATACCGAAACAAGAAACTTTCGTCCTTTTACCGTTCTCTTCAAGGTTCTGTTCATGTTAGTAGTATCTTCCGCCGCAGTGCGGACTTCCTGAAATGATGGGACCAAGCAGAGTGGCATCAGGCTGGCGTTCAGGTGGTCCACTATTCCTTTTTCTCTTTTTTATCTCTCTATCTTATTTCCCCTTTTCTATTTACGTTTCGTGTCCCACTTTCCACCCACTATATCGTTTATTTCCCCCTGTGTATCTCTTTATGATGTTTGACACCCTTCGGGATTTTGGTGTGTGTGATGACTCCCTTAAAAAGAAGAACGAAGTACCGTCAAAAATTCTATCCAACTATATCTGGACTTTTATTTTTGGGTCGACCAGAGGATGAAAAAAAGGAAGGAAGGAAGAGAAGAAGCAGGACCGGGGGAGTTTCCTTAAAAGTGAGAGCAAGTCCTTTGCACACCTCTGTCTTATTGGGGTTGTGTTTTCTCGTCCGAATAAGACGCCGTCGCTTGGTTACGTGTGATCGAGCTATGCTGTTACGAATGATCTATAGAGATGATGGAATTCAATTATCATTAACTCACTCAACGAGACGGGCTGCATTATGGGTTGAGGTAGATAATATAGAGCCGTGGTCCTCAAACCCTATCCCCAGGGAAATTCATCATCCACTTCCCACTCTTCCCCTCGGAACCCCAAACAATTACCACTCCCATATAGTAGTAACAAAAGGTATCTGTAGAACTGAACCAACAACTAGTAGCAGAAAACCAAACCACAAATATCCCCGCTACCCAAAAGACCCAAGAAAGAACCAGCATTAAACCAATAATCGAAAAATGACAACCCATCCCTTTCTCCCCCCTCATTTCTCTCTCATGTTCCAACCCACTTCATCGACTCCGTCTCGGTTCATAATCCATCATCTGCGCCGATGATGATGATGATGATGATGATGACAGCGGTGGTGGTGGTGCCCTACTTCTCCTCCCCGAACTCCTGACGGGTACAATCTCATTGATATAGGGTTCGTGTCTGCCGAAAGTGGCGGTGGCGGTGGGGCTGGCTGAGTCACCTGCCATTCGGAGGGATTCTTGACGTTCGTATTCTCGGGACATGGTTGCTAGGTCGTCGATTTGTTCCTATTGATTTCATATTTAGTTTGGTTGGTGGGGGAAGGGGGGAAGGGAAACGAGGAGTAGGGGGAGTTAGGGACGCACTCTTGTAAGTGGTACACCGACTATTAGGTAGCCGTCGCGTCCCTGGAGGTTGTTCGGTTCATGTGTTAGAAGAATGTGTTTGGTTCTAGGTGTTTTGTGTATGTGGCTGTGGTATATTCGTCTCTACCTGGTATGAATATGGCCTGACGCTGGCTGTTGGCCCTAGAAAGTATTGTATGTGGCCTAAGACTATATGACGGGACAGTCCGTATCCTGGGAGCCAGTATTGTTGTACTTGAGACATCTCCGTGAGGTTGTAGTAAGTTCAGTTAAGTATAGGGGAGTAAGTAGTGTGAGTGATGTAGTGAGTGTGAGTGATGTAGTGCTGTGTTTGTGTTGTATACTAGATTTTGAACTGAATAGAGTGGACTACTTTCGATCATGACGACCATTCGATTGGAACTGGAACTCTCTTCTAGGGACCCCATATATATAACTAGCTTCGGGTTTCTGGTCATGCAAGGAAAAAGGAAGAAGAAGATAACAAACGGACATAAGATTCATTCGTCACGCCTCGGTGGGTTCGATGTGGATGTGTCTCTCAAAGGTGTCGGAATGCCCTAGGGCAATGTGACTGTACATAGTGGGCTCCATCACTTAGGATGCTGATCAGCACGCCCGCCATCGGCCCAGCGAATTCTCTTCCAGTCAAGACTGCGCCTTTGCGAATGTGGCTTTTTACATAGACTCTTTTGCGAGCAAAATGGAACGGCTGCAAGGCCTGCTGCTCACGTCCGATTCCGGGGAAAACTCGCCTCACTCTTTCATCCAACCCCTTTGCGTCGGTAAAAGTGAGGCTTGGACACCCCCCCGAGGGAAGACTGATAATTTCCGCAAATCGAAGGATATTGCGCCCACCTTCTCGCGTGCCTCTGTATTTTCACAGCTTGGCTATTCCTGCGGTGAACATGCACCACTGAAGTGGTCGGAGATGTAGGTATGTAGTAGAGTCTGTATGTGTGATGCCGTGGCTCCATGGACCGAGCGTTTCGGATGCAGCTAGTATGCTTGCTCGAAGTTCTAGGCGACTCCCCTAGATCTTGCAGCCCCAAAATGGTTTTGTACATTTCGGAATTTCTTGCGTCTCGAGTCCAGACGTCCTCATAGCCGGTGACACCTGCATGAGCCTGGAGCCATTTATACAGACCGGGTTGTTCGCAGATCTATGAGGCCATGCCATACTGTATCCCACTTAGCCGACCGGGCTGTTTGTGCCCGCGGCTCTCAGCGGCAGCTTGAGTCATAGTGTTCGGCCCGATTACTTCTTGTTTTTATTTCCGGGGTCCTTAATTTGACCTGTAATCGCTCTGCAAAGTTTATCGGGGCTGTAGTCGGTGCTATCTGTATATCGGTGGATACAGCATAGTTGTCACCTATTGTCGCAGATTCCGGGGTCTAGACTAGAGATGCATCATCTGAAAGGGAACATCTAAGCGTCGTGGCATGATTGACCATGTAGCCTGTACCCACGAAATATCGTAGCACAGAAATTTGTGCCTCGGAGTTCGTCTCAGACCGTTGATACTGTCCTTGCTGGGCCGAGCTAAGCTTGACGATCGTTGAAGACAGAATGGGCAGTGACACGATCCTACATGGAATTAGACCCGGAGGTCCATTGTCCCCTTCCTGTATAGCCAATCTTCGCGGCGATATCTGTGGCCTTTAGCCTTAGCTAGGGGTCACCTGCATCAGGGCTTGGGCGAATCTGATTTGGTAGTCAGCCACGCTTGCATGAGCCGGTCTAGCTGACCATGTCCTCCTCAACAGGGCTCCGGCTTCCTCTTTTTCAGTCACTCATCAAGCCTAACAAGCGCCGGAAAGTGACTGCCACTGTTGTGACAGCCGATAAAGGGGGAAAAAAAAAAACTGTACACCTGGTATGGCTCACAGAATCGTATGAGGCTAGACCCAGCCTAGCCACCGATTGTTGTGGGCCCGGATATAGAGAAAGCGATGCGACATGGCAAACCAATTGGTATTCAGCCGAATAGTTAGCTGGGGGTGAGGTTTCACCTCACTCACCAAGCCTTAGATATTCGAAGCGCAGATGCCTACCTCTCCCATCGTTTGCTTGTGGACAGGGAAGGCCCTCTGTTCTCCAATGGTGTCGCAATATCCACGAACTGGGCAGCTTCATCCCTGCCCCAGATCGTTGCTTTTATTTGCCCTCTTATAGTGACTGCAGGTTTTATTCGGCAAGGGGCTGAAGGTGAGGCTGAAGAAACGAGTTAGAACTTCCTAGATCAAGGAACGATGATGAATACATCAGGAAATAAGCTCTTTAACTTACTCCCGGGTTTCTTAGAAGCGGATTGTGACCGAAGCAGAAGCTGCGATCTTGGGGCTACGCCGGGGCAGGTGAAAGAAAAAAGCGGCTGAGGATCGAGAAATCAAGCTTGCAAGTGGTCAGGAAGAAGGTGATTGCTTGACAGTGTCCCTGTCCTGAGGCGGAAGACCCACAAATGATCTAGCCCTGGTCACAATCTCATCCCTGAAGATCTGCAGAGGCAGCTAGTGGGAACCTCGACAAGGCGACAGTGAGGCGTTCGGAGAATTAGAGAAGCAAAGTCAGGTGTGATGGAAAGGAAGGCACAGAAGGGGAGCATTGAGCTAATCAAACTCATTCAACACGGTTCAGGATGGCTAGATTGACAATTTTCCAATGAATGCATCTTCACGCTTGCATCTTCTCGCTTCGTATATTATAGTCTATACTCTTTTCATGACTCGTCCAAATAAACAACGTTCGCAGCAAATCTTGAATTGAAAACTCTCCGCTAATCCGCCTCAGTTGCCCTCCGGGGGTACATACGGGTTCACAAGCATGTCGCTGAATCTGTGGACTGGTTAGCCATTCTGATGCTTCTCACAACCGGATATCTGGGGGTCGACTTACTTCTCAAGCTTCTCCTTGCCTCTGACTTCCTCAACCAGCAATGGCATCCTAACCACGTTGAAGTCTTCATACAACTCTTCAATCTGCTCCAAGTACTTCTTCTGCATCTTCCTCCGTGCATTACATTGTTCGCACTCACTGCTTTGCTTGGGGAACAGGAGCTGGTTGACCACAATGGCATGGGTATCGATGTTGTAACTTGTGAGCTCCTGGATCATGCGCTCGGTTTCGTAGAGGGACAAGAATTCCGCAATGCAAACACAGACGAAGGTAGTCAGATCAGCGTCCTTGAACTGCGAGTTGACCTCGCTGATAGTCTCCCTCAGCGACTCCATCTTCTGCAACAATTCATCGATGTTTTGACCGCCGGGCAGACCACCACGAGAACCAAGGATCGAGTTCAGCATGGGACCAAACTGAGAGGACAGCTGCGACAGCTTGGCGAGAGCCTTCTCTAGGACAGTAGGGAACTGGAGGAAGCGGAGGGTGTGACCGGTCGGCGCAGTGTCAAACACAATAACTTCGTAGGACAGCGACTTGACCTGCTTCAGGACTTCGGCAAAAGACATAGCTTCATCAACACCGGGGATCTGCTACAATCAGCCATCTTTCACGAGAGCAATATTATTCTGCTGGTCAGCAGCACTGATGCGTCACGTACACTGAACGCAAGATCCTGCATCATTCCACCAACACCCATACCAGACAGAGGGTCGTCGCCCTGGCCTTCACCACTAGCCAGGAGATCTTGAATACTGCCGTTAGGGTCGATCTCCATAGCGCTCAGGTTCGAGTATCCATCGACCAGCCGGGCCTCCTTTCCGAACTTCTGACCGAAGGCATCGCTAAGGTTGTGCGCGGGGTCGGTGGAGATGAGGAGGACAGATTTGCGAACTTTAGCAAGCTGAATTGCAAGAGAGCAGGAAGTCGTAGTCTTGCCGACACCTCCTTTACCGCCGACAAAGATCCAGCGCAAGGTCTTCTGATTCACCACCGACTGGAGCGTGGGCTCCATGAGGTCGTCGCTGTGCACAACGGCGGATGACATGTTGAAAACTCGTTGAGATGATTATCGGAATCGATTCGATGTCTGAGGAGGGTGCGATAGAGTGAGCTTCCTTGTCAAAGAGGCAGTGTCGCGATATTGAAGCTTGGACTTACCACGTATCGGTTCCCCGCAGAGGCCCAAAACTTTCAGTAGTGGCGGTTAGACAAGTTCGAGAACGTTCTCGGTAAGATAGAGTCACCCGAGCACTGGCGTGAAACAGGCCTATTCAGGTCCAGATGAGCGCGGTAGCAAGGTGCTGAAGATTCAGGTACAATCACTTTAGTGAATCATGTGCAGCGCCAAAGAAAAGCGTTTCCATTCGAGCCGGTGCAACACGCACGTGCGGATGCCATCATTCTCTGCCTGAGGCGACCCCACCCGTCAATAAAGTGACATAATGCCTCACTTCTCTGAGATAATCTTGATTAGTTAGTTGTCTATGTAAATCTAATCGAGCCGGCGGCTCTTCGTCGCTTATTCACGGACTCATTACTGAAGCTATTCGTTTTGCGACCAGCAACCCATTCCTGCCAATCGAGCTCAGATAAACAGCTAATTGTCATTTCCAGCTAGCTTCTGTCTGCGTTTAGAGGCATTGAAAAGCAGTACGAGATTCTATGACACTACACCATTGCAGCCACCTGACATGTACAAAAAAGAATAAGCGGACATCTCCACTTAAAAGAATCTGGCTTGCTCCCGCATGATAAAAGCCGGGTCTTGCGTTACAAAAGTCTAGGTTAGTCAGATCGACGGGCACCACGAACCCCAATCGTTACTACTACCTGGTATCGTAGCATCCCAAGCCGGGGTTGCACACACACTCTCTCTCATATCAAAGTTGATCAGCTAGTGGGTTTGCAACTCTAAGTTCAATCCAGGGGCACTAAACAGATTTGAGCTGTTGTAGTGCTACGAGCTTTTTGGGACCACCCCCGAGTTACCCCACCGATGGTATACTCCGGCATCTCAGGGTAGCTCTGTCGGTGCTCTCCGATGCATGAGAAGCGGAGATAGAAAAAGCCCCTCGCGCGCTGAACACTCTCGAGACAATTTCTACTCTTCTCTCAGTATCTGAAATAATCACCTATAACCTACCTATTCTCTCTTGATGGACCCTAGCTCGGAAATCAAGCCGTCAAGTGGTCAACTGGATAAAGTCACAGACCGTCTTAGCCTCTACCGCAACCAACTCCTCCAATCCCCGATCCACTCTACAGCACAACCCTTCAACAAGTACAACGCAGCATCGACCCTCACCCAAAATACCACCGCAATGTCTCGCGACCCCATTACCTGCCACGTCCTGAACACCCTGACGGGTACTCCCGCGGCGAACCTCCCAGTGACACTGACCCTCCTATCTGCACCCTCCAGCAGCCAGAGTCCCATCACTTTCCAGGCGACGACCGACGCAGACGGACGAGTCAAAAACTGGGAACCCACCACAACTTCATCGTCCGCTTCGTCGGTCCCCGCTATCCTTTCTGCACTCCCAACTGCCGATAGCAAGACGAATTGGTCCGTTCGTTTTGACGTTGGCCCATGGTACGAGGCACA